TGCAAGCCAATCATGATGATTACAGCCACTTATTGATCGAAGTAAAATCAGATGAGATTCTATAACTTTACTCCAGAAATCACGATAAGTGCAGGACAAGGCATTCTCAGGTATTATTTTTTTTACGAACAATTGTGTCTGTGAAATTGAAATCAACCACAAGAGTTTAACATCATTGATTCGAGTCATGCAATTTTTTCTTCTTCTTTTGCTTGTACTCTACATCTCACCTCAATAGTCCCCTATGCTGTCACGTGTGCGCTGGAATTTTTGAGCTTGAAATGCTATGCAAAGCACAGAGTTCATCTTTCAGCTGGTGGTCAGACCGAGAAAGAAGAATGCTTCCATTCGAAAGCGTGGAGGAATAGCGTTGCTGTGAAAACTTGACAGTTTCTTCAACTGGGATCCGTTACAGTATGCACTTCCGATCCGGCTTGAAGACACAGGCTGATTTTAGCTTCACCTTACAAACTACTATCAACTGAGTCTAAAACTAGGGCCTAACTATACAGTGAGTCATCCACGGTGAAGTATTTCGTGTATGTGTTCTATTGTTTGGCTCCTGCTTAGTAAAGTTTCAATTTAAAAGCATGAAATCAGCTACCCATTTATACTTTTACTTCATGTTTACAATGTTACGGTAACTTCAAGTGTTTAAACGCAAATTAAATGAGGATTTGCGGAAGTGGTGTCTAGAATCCTCATACCAGCTTATACATAAAGCTGACTGTCCCACGTTTCATGCAGTTTTTGCACTCAGAATGCCACCTCAAAAAATCAATGCTTACTCGACTTTAGCCAAATACTGCATACCTTATGCACATCACATGTTCCGACCTTTACGCTTCCATATTTTATATTCTTGATTGTGTGAACATTGCATAATAAGGCAATCACACAATTGGATCTCGCAGCACACATCGCATCGGATCGCATCACGTCGTCGGGACTACTAACTTCCAAAGTTTGCTAGAATCGCACGGCTAAATTCTTACTATCTGTGCACTTCAGAAAATATGATTTCTCTATTAACCTCATGCTCTGATAAAATTAGTTACGAACACTTTCTTGCAACATTGAGCAAAATATGCCTGATTATGTATCAGATTTCTTACCGTAATTCCACCATTAATTTTTCTAAAATCCAACATTGCTTACTTATTCTATTTTGTTGTGATTTAGTTGCCTCATAATGTCTTTCGTACTACTGTTTAATTTAGATCTTTCTCTGTTCCAAATTTGCTTATCACCAAAAACGTTCTGCTTTATTGGAGAATGTTCTGATAACTCTCGGATACGGCCATAGCACCATAGCTCGCCATCCAAGATGGGCTACTGCAAAGTGCTGTGACGACCAGCCAACTTAGCCGAAACTCAACTTCCATGCTCAAGAGATCATGCTCCCGGTTTTTTGGAGTTGGCAGAGCATGCTGTTTTGAAAACTACAAGATAACAAACAGACAATCAACGCTGATGTCTACGGGGAACACTTCCGGAAGTTAGCTGCAGGAGTGCGAGAGAAGAGTCCGCAACGACTCGGTGTCGTCCTTAATGAGGACAGCGCTGGACTTCACATTGCAAGTCGAGTCGTCACTTTTCAAAGAACACGGGCTGGACCACGGTACCACCTCCACCGTACATCCTCTGATATTGCTCCATCGAATTATCGCCTATTCTGCGTCCTGAAGCAGCATCTGCAGGACAAAACTCTAGAGAATACAAATAGTCTGAAAGTAACGTCACCACCTTCCTTGATCTCTAGCTCCAATATTTCTAAGAAGAAAGCAACATACCGCTGCTTGAAAAATGGGTGCATCCCCTTAATCTTAATGGTGACTGTATTGCTGATGGTTGAATTTTTCAAATCAATAACAATCAATCAAAGTGTTTAAATGCAAAAGAAATTACGGGACAACCCAATATAATGAGAGAAGTCACTGCAGATCTTTATTCATATGGATGAATCTACAAATCGGGTTGGTTGAAAAGTATTCCTGACAAATCTTATTAGTTCATAAGTCCGACGAATATTAGGCGTAATTCGATTTTATCCTATAATCCTAGCTTATTAGTTAAGTAATACAATGGTAATCTCATCTATTCTGTGAAAATCAGGATACTTTGTGATTTGGACAATGACGCATGAATAACTAATCCACGTTTCTGACGTAAATTAAATAATTTCCTCTGTACAAACAATTAAATGAAGAAATATCTGAGCTGTATTTTCTTCATTTGGATACTTTTTGTTCAAGCGTTACGTACATTCTTGTGTGCTGTGACTTTTCTATTATGTTATTTATAAGTATTTCATTCTAATTTCTAAACTTATCAGTCAGGTAAACAAATGATAATCTCATCTATTCTGTGAAAATCAGGATACTTTGTCATTTGGACAATGACGCACGAATAACTAATCCACGTTTCTGACGTAAATTAAATAATTTCCTCTGTACAAACAATTAAATGAAGAAATATCTGAGCTGTATTTTCTTCATTTGGATACTTTTTGTTCAAGCGTTACGTACATTCTTGTGTGCTGTGACTTTTCTATTATGTTATTTATAAGTATTTCATTCTAATTTCTAAACTTATCAGTCAGGTAAACAAATGATAATCTCATCTATTCTGTGAAAATCAGGATACTTTGTCATTTGGACAATGACGCATGAATAACTAATCCACGTTTCTGACGTAAATTAAATAATTTCCTCTGTACAAACAATTAAATGAAGAAATATCTGAGCTGTATTTTCTTCATTTGGATACTTTTTGTTCAAGCGTTACGTACATTCTTGTGTGCTGCAACTTTTCTATTATGTTATTGATATGTATTTCATTTGAATTTCTAAGCTTCAAAGCTAAAAATTTTTATTTCAGAAATAGTTACATCGACATTGATAAAGAACGGAAATCAATGCGCCTAAATAAACGATATTTGCATATGACTTGGAAAAGTAACTTATCTAAAATTACACTATGTTGAGAATTTGGCGCTTTCCTTGAAAAACAGAATAACGATGTCTTACCATTTCCCTATTACACTGATGAATATGAACTAGTTCTTTATCGGTGGGGTCCCGTGAACAACAGAAGAAAAAAAAAACAGCCGATAAAAACGAATTTTTGTCTTGTTCTTGTATCTCTGCTGCAAGTAAAATGTAAGCATTATCCACTCGTTTGACAAACGAATTCCGGGATTCAGCAAGAAAATAGGCCAGCTGATGAATGCTCTTCTCGCTTTCACACAGGCCACTAACACTCTGTTTTTTTTTTCCAACACTACATCGATGGATCTCTTAAGATCCTTGTAAAGACATCGACCATAAGTCACCATCGATTTGTAGTTGATGAAATCATTGTCAGTCCTAACGCAAAGTATTGATAATTGATGAAAATGCCCAAAAATATTTCAAGGCTAACTTCTTTCTTCGTAGTTCCGCTGGAATTCTCATGGGACACCATCAGTCATCAGTTAGTTCCTCTTTTTGTTAAGTGAATAGGCTGTCAGAATACAAGTACAGAAATATCTCGATCTTTGTCGGCATGATATAGAAATGCAGAGTTTGATGAACAGCTTCTTCGACTGAGCCCTTTCTTCGAAACATTGTGGCCATGAAATTGTCCCACTTTTTGGACAGAGATGGCAAATATTTTATTGGTCAAAACAAATCAATCGGTGGCACTCTTGTGATCTTATCACAAAACTGCATCACACGTTTGGGCACTCGAGCTATTAATCTAGTTTTTCAGAACTGAAAGAGAAGTTAGTTTAATGGTACGCAACGAAAAGAATCCCAGTCAAATGCTCCTCAACAGAACAGATTTTCTACAGTTATTTTTTATGTACGACAAACTAAGAGTGAGCACGAAATCGATACATGTGATTGCTTTACATTGTCTATATAATCAATAAAAAATGTCGTGGCAAAAATATATTCTAGAGAGACACGATAAAAGAAAGCGAAGCTTTTTTTGTAGATATTCACAGCAAAAGATTCAGTTAGCAAGTTTAAATAGGGAATGTGCAATTGTATCATGCGTTATAATTTTGTTTTTCTACTGGGAACATTAACAGTACGGTATCTAAATTGAGGGGATGTGATCGCACTTCATATCAATAAGAGTACTCTGCTTCTAAATTAGCTTTTTTTCTTATGAATGTGGTCGAGAATTTACTGGTCCCGTTGTGAGAACCAAATCAGTAGTCTACATGTTCGGTTAAGCAATAAGTTCTGGGAAAATTCCAAAAGTTTCATTCTTGACATCTTTCTGCCTTTTCTCATTGATAGTTTTGTATATATTTATCCAGTCCATGAACATTAATTCCAAAATGCCCATTGAACAGTACAATTTGTGTGCGCTGATCCGCCATTATTGGAAAAAAGGATTAACAATTCTTGAAGCCGTCGATGAGATTAATGAGGGTGAGGGTGTTGGTACGGAAGCAAAATCGACTGTGAAGAGATGGCTTGAGCGATTCAAAGAAGGCAGTTTTGATTTCGAAGACACTCTCCGTTTTGGCCGCCTATCTGTTCTGGATGAAAGTGACTTGCAAGCCGCTTTGAATGATAAACCTTCATCAAACAGGCTGGCTGAAGAGCTTGGTGTTTCGCGGCGGAGCATTGTCAACAAGTTGCACCAATTTGACTTTGCCCACGAGAAGAAGAAAAATCATGGCAGAAAGTTGTAGACAGTGGTGGTCTATCATTGAAGAGTATCTATTGTTGTTTTTGTGGTTGATTTCCATGAAATTACGACCTCAGACAGGGGGCGATCCCGCGTTTCATCCATACCGGGGACGCGCACTTCCGCTACACCATCGAGATACATTCGCTCCACTACTCATTCTTCAACATCTCTATGATAGCTGTAAGTCACCAACCTTTAGCAGGCTCAAGTGGGTTTATAAAGCGAAATCGTATACCTAAGCAAACCTGTTGAACGGGTGACTGACAGCTATCATAGAGATATTGAAGAATGAGCGGGGTTGCAAATGTACCTATGTGGTGTAGTGGTGGCATGTGTTCCCAGTATGGATAAAACGCGGGTTCGATTTCCGTCTGAGGTGTGTTTCTGCTGACCACTTAATTCTTTTAGGTGTATATGAAACATCATAAAGCTGCGAAAAAGGCAGTAAAACCACTAGAGATCTGAAGTTAATTTCTGCATAAATATGAAACCTCCAAAAATTTTCAAGAACTTTTTGCTCATCCCTACGTAAATAACAAGCATGCGCTTAACCGGTTCAAAAGTAAGGAAACTAATAAACTAAACTTTGCACATTTTGCATTACCATTGTTGTAATCAACAGTTGGAAGTTTGCACTTGGTTTTTTTTTTCTTTCAAGCTACCCATCCTTCATCAATGCCACCATTGTGTTGTCTTCGCCATTAATAGATTCTTGCGTCTACCACACTTCGCATTTTTCACATGTCCCTTAATACCGTAATGCGCTTGTTTACACTTAAACAAAGTATGTGAGTACATATGTGTGTCATGTATGTATGTGCGCACGTGTGTGTGTGTGGTGTGTGTGTGTGTGTGTGTGTGTGTGTGTGTGTGTTGTGTGTGTGTGTGTGTGTGTGTGTGTGTGTGTGTGTGTGTGTGTGTGTGTGTGTGTGTGTGTGTGTGTGTGTGTGTGTTGCGCAGTTGCTCATTTACATCGTTGTCAAGAGTTGGCAAGATTTGGCAAGAGACCTCTAGTCCTATTTTTATTTATACAAAAGTGCCTTATCTTCACATACACATTTGAGAACACTGAAACTTACTAACTGAGAAGCAAAGAAACTGTCACTCACTAAAAAGATTCGCATAAATACTGCATATGTGTATACATGAATGTGAAGCAAGCCATTAAGTAAACTTAAAAGCTTTCATGATATCAGTCTCTTGGAAAACTTGAAGCTAATTGACGCTGTTATTTTGTATTATAGGAAAATTAGTTCTCAAGCGCTGCTTGAATTCCCAACTCTCTAACTCATTTCTTCTCGTAGAGACAGCTATGTCATCTTTTTTTTTTGAGCGGCTTTGAAGGTGATTCTTAAAGCCATTCGAAAAGTTGGTTTTCATTCGACTACTGCCCACAAATCTTAGGCCTTTGCTGATTGAGTGGTCAGTTTTTTTCTTCTTTTTTGTCAAAGAAGTTTTTTCCTCATTTCAACATCCATCCTTTTTGGAATGAACTAGCAGTTGGCATCAAATGAGATGTCATAAGCCATTGATGAACGTCTGCCAGAATGAAAGTTAAGATTTGAATTAGAAGGTCAGCAAGCAGAAAAATCAGCATTAGATGCCATAGAGAATGTTGGGCTACTTTGTCTTGAAAGTTAACCTGTTTTGCAGGCAAACGACTTTTCTTTCAATAGTGTTGTTTGGGACAATTTATTAGGTTAGTGTAGTAAGCACTGTCAGGTGGTACAAATTTTCACGTAACTCTAAGAAAGATAGCTACATTCAGCAAAGAGCAACAAATATGCTCTTCCATTCCGTGAAGTTTGCTCAGGTTAGCATGAAGTGAAAAAACTATGCATGAAAATAATTGGTAGTTGAGTAATTTCGTCATTGGAATCAATCATTAATACAAAGGTCAAAATTGTTTCGAGAAATTTACAATTGTCGAAGAACTGGAAATTATTTCTTGGAACATTATCATGTAAAACCTGGATCGCCGTTGTTTTCTCAGCAAGACTTGTGCTACACCAACAAATTCCTATGTTCTGCCCACTCCTAATGAAAGAAATTGATTAGCGAATCAGTGATTGAACTAGGTGTTTTCTTTCTAAAAATTTTAAATTTTTTCTTAAAGCTTTTTCCGTTTAATGTGGGAGAACGGAGTTCGTGGATTTTTCCAACTACGATCTGTAAAATGGACTACAATATGCTCGGTTAAGAACACATAGGCCAAGAAAGAGCTTACCATTTTCATACAGAAGCCTTAGTAAGAGTAAATTTACACCAAAAGTCGTGACTATTTTAGAACAAAGCTTTTTGAGAACAGAGAGAGCAAGACCGCTTTCGATCCAGAACCGTTGACACTGGCAGTGTGGTAAGCCCTTGGCATAGATTGCAGGCATTCGATTGACGAATTAAAGGACCATTACTTGATTAATAAAACAGCTTGGCTAAATAGGAGTTCTCGTAAACGTTGTTCGAATGTCCATTGTCACGATTCGACTTTCTTCTTAAATAGCAATTTCACTACAGCGGCATATGACAGTGGGGAAGTACAATCCAGAAAATCTCAAAATTGCTTTGAAAACTTTCGCTTTTGCGAGATTTCAAGGCGATGTTTGAAGATTGAATTCTATTACTCAAATAAAGATCTCTTGTCAATTTATCATGAATTTTTGATGGTGTGTAGTCCTCATTATACTGAAATAATCTGTGAAATGATTGAATGATTTTGAAAAATTCTTAGCCAGTATTTCTGTTTATAAGTATTTCTTTAGTTTAATGGTTAATCGTTCGCCTTCACAGCTAGAAAAGTAGATGCGCTTAAATTAATGCACTTCTTAGAAGGCTTCCATTCAGTAAGAGACAATTGGTGCTGTCTTGGGATACGAAATCTTACCACACATTATTATCCAGGATAAGCTTCTCAGCGCTGCGATTTGTCATCCGAGTCGATGCTCTGCTGAAATATGAAATAAAATCTTACGAATTCTGCTTCACCGTAATAAGTGGGGGAAAAATTGAACAACAGATCTCAACCAGCCCTCACCTATCAATTTTCTAATATACTTGACCAATTGATACATTGATACGGACCTAGTAAAGGCTTACTAGGAAAAAGTCTGCACTTTACAAAAGTACTTTGTTTCGACACTTTTCCACGAAGTTGCTACAGTGCTTCCATTCGGATAGCGGTTTAGCTGCGTTTGTCTTTTTCGAAGGTGCGATGCTATGATTCGAATCAACTGTTCACAGAAGTTCGTCTTTGCGTTGTGAGTCGTCTTAGATGCATCGAGTCGAATTTTCTAAGATCAAGCATTGATCAAGTGAAGTAATTTTACTCGGCAGTTCACATCTGTACGGAGAGATTGCTTAACCTGAGTAATATTCCGCTTTGGAAAAGTCGATTTGATGCATCTACGAAGCCTCACATCGCCTAAACGAACAGCTGTGGACAGTCGATTTGATTTATTGAAGCTCAGAATAGACCGAAGATGTCGAAATGTGAGCAGATTAAAACTTTAGGAAAACATCTTGTAAGCCGAGTAGTGCGAGGAATTGTGTTGAAGATCTTCACAGAGGTCAGGTAAAAATTGGCTTAGAGCAGCATAATTCTGGTTCAAATTTTATGAAGGCGTTCGCTTGAGCTGAAAGTGCTTCATGCAAGATTATTATTTGAGATTAGGTTAAATTATTTTCCTAATCTCGATGGCGTAGTGAAGCTAAGTCGTAAAAGAAATGACTAAGATATCATAATAGAAAAGCCGGAAAAAAACTTTGAATGTAAATAATATCCAGAAAGTGGCCAATAAGCAAAGAAACAAAATAAATTTAGTAGCGCTGATGTCTTTCACTCCCACCTTCCATGAACAAAAATTTCAAAATAATCTATGAGTGTTACCGACTCGTTAACTTCGGTCGCATACGAATTACAAGCGATGCTTGATTGATAATTTTGATGCAATCTGTGCCCTTTTAATTCAGCGCAGCCTGCAAGAAATAAGCAAGAACGCAAACTCATCGAGGTAGTGTAAGCTCTTGAGAATAGAAAAAAAGTGAGTATCTGATTCGGAAAGAGAAAAAAAATATGAACCCAAAAAACCTGTAGTTAACATTTTACTTAACCGTTCCTATGGCTGTATGGTTTTTCTACTTATGCTACTTCAATAAAATACTATTGAGCTGCTTGTGTTCTATCCAGTCTTGGAGAAATCAGTCATCACTTCTGAAATTGGAACCCCTCGATTTGCTTGAAATCTATACATGCACTGCTTCGCTCTTTCTGATTAAGAAGGAACAAATGAAAAATTGATCTCAATGCTGAAGAAGAATTTTTCATAGGAACCTTAGTAACCGTTCGAAAGCTAGAGACTACTAGACTATAGCCTCATCTCGCCTATTTTTCAAAACACTGCTTTATACCGCTGTAACATTCAAAATAAAGTCATGTATCATAAAACCACGTGTATTCTCTTATCTCGCCTATAATTCGCTGAACAAAATTCCTTCCTCAGGGTGCTAATTAAACCATAAGCACAAGCTTGAACAAATTCAAAGATGTCTTCACTTTTTGAAAAGCTTTTTTGATCTTCTGATCTCCTCAGGTCTTTCAATTTGTGCTTTAGACCTCGTTGGACAGAGCTCTTTCTTTAGATTATTGGAATTCATTTGATATTTTAATGTTTTCTGGTTCTAGTGGTGAGCTACTTTCTGGAAATACGATTCAGCAGGGAAGATAAAATCGAGTTTAACATTTTAGTGTCGTTGTTTACAGGCTGTTCGGGAAGGCGAGGGCCGTGACAGGAGGCGTGGCAGGGGCGGGGCGAGACAGGAGGTAGGTATTTTAATATTAAGTTAGGAATTTTCCTCCGTTTCAAAAGAAACTCCAGACAAAAGGTTGATTAGGATACTACGAAAATTTCTCTAACTCTTTTCGGCTTCTACCGATTATGCACGTGATAAAATGAGGCGGAAGGCGAATGTGAAACATAGTTTTTGATCTGGATGCTGCAATGTTATAAAGCGATGTTTTGGAAAACGAACGACACCGGCTGTAGACTCGAGTCTCAGGTTTTGAATGGTTACTACCAGTCCTATGAAAAATTCTTTTTTAGCGAATGAGATCTGATTTTTCATTTGTTTCCTCCTAATCAGAAAAAGCCCGGATTTCATTAGAGCAGTAGAAGCTCACTATGAAATAAGGCATGTATGTTCAATTTTGAGTAGTGCAGTGTTTTCGGTGGCGCTTGACACATGAGTCATATACGGTAAGCAATTTGTTCATAATATTTATATCAATTCAGTAAAAGGTTGTATTTTCTACCGGCTATATTAGCTAGATTACCAATGAACTAGACATTCGTAGAATGAATCGAGAGAATACCAGCAAAGCATCAT